TAGAGAGTTTTAGATCCGAGTTTACCGCGAACCTCTAACCGCTGGAGGCCACGTGACAAGTCTTTCGCGTCACGTTTGAGGTTTACGACGTGCGTTTTCAACGTGGGGAGGTAGGTTTTCACGTATGTCATTTACCTGAAAGCTTTTAGCGTATAATTCTTGTTTTACCTCACGTAATGATACAAAAATCTTGTGGAGCAAGTCTTTATCCACTAACAGAGGCACAAATTCGGGCGAAATGCTAATTTTGATAAATCCTGTTGGATCTTGAAAACAAGTGCCATTCATGGCTCCTGATTCAAAATGGTGGCCGTAAATTTGCGAGAAGAACTAATGTAAGACTTTACAGCTCTTTGCTGCTGCTAGATAAACCCAGTGTTACCGTAAATTTCTTTTATTTTCACTGATTGATATTTCTTCTATTTCTAAATGGAAAAATAAACCGGAATCTACTTCTTTAATCCACCGCCAATCTAAATCGAATTACGTTTCAACGTCGAACAGCAAACGGGTAACCGCAAACCGCGGTTAGAGGTTCGCGGTAAACTCGGATCTAAAACTCTCTATTATTGAGTTTACGCAACAGGACGGCAGGAAGAAGAGGACGGCAGAACGCTCGTGTGTGACAAGGCTATTTCTTACGTTTTTTGTCGTGATCTTCTCTTAACATCAATGTTTTCTGGTCTTTTACAAAAAGATCTGTTTAAAGGAAAGTGAATTTTGGCGAAAAGTTATTTCAAACAAAATTATTGTCACGCTTGTCACATAAGATTTGCCGTCTTCTTCCCTCTCCCGTCCTGTTGCGTAAGTTCACTATTAGTGAGTTTACACAACAGGACGGCAGGAAGAAGAAGACGGCAGAACGCTCGTGTGTGACAAGGCTATTTCTTACGTGTTTTGTCGTGATCTTCACTTAACATCAATGTTTTCTGGTCTTTTACAAAAAGATCTGTTTAAAGGAAGGTGAATTTTGGCGAAAAGTTATTTCAAGCAAAATTATTGTCACGCTTGTCACACAAGGTTTGCCGTCTTCTTTCCTCTCCCGTCCTGTTGCGTAGGTTCACTATTGGCGGGAAACAGTTTCATTGTTTCAATGAGACCGCGCGCTGTTGAGAAAAAATTTCCAGCTATATAACAATGCTCTTTATCAAATTCTCTAAACTCCTTCGTTTAGGAGTAACTTGTTATGGAGATCATGTCTGGAGAATGTGTATCTGGATATTGGGGCTTAAAAGATTAAGCTACAGTTACAGTTCCATCCACATTGCCACTCCTTTGGGGGCTTTCCCTGTGGTTCTGATGGTGTCCGCAATCATTGTGTTTGCATAAAAGTTGTAAACTAAAGCTACAAAGCAAAGGATTGTCCTAAAAAATTTGGGGGGCGTACCTGTTTTTAAATTTCTCCAGAGGCTTGCTTTAGATTTTCCATATATTTGTCTGTAATTTTCCCGGACTTTCTTACAGACATATGTATAGAAAAAATTTTAAAAAGTGATTCTAGGTCTTCTAGTGCATGTAACGCCCTCAAATTTTTTCAGGAGAATCGTTAGGAGTGAACCTTTAGTTTACAAATCATATTTTTTTCAGAACAGCCGTTCTACGCAAATTATTCGACATTAGATTCTCATATAGACACTGTAATTTCTCACGCGTTTGCCTACTCGTCAAGATGGCGTCGAAAACCGTGACAAGGTCTATTATTTGCATTTGGCAAGCAAACCGCGTCCCCAATCCAGTTCTGCGAGGGCGGCCAGCCATGCCGTTCGCGAAGTCAAGAACGTCTGGTGCTTAAGTTCCCTACTGTCACGAGTTATCGACGTAAAATATGGCTGTTCTATCTTTACCTTTACCTTTTAACAACAAAAACAATTCCATAATAAGTGTGCTTCAGTTTAGCTCTATGATCCACTTCATGATCAGAATGTTCACCACCCCCTTGTATTTATTATCCAACCTTTCTTACAATGCCGGGGATTAACTGGGGTCGAATTTGGGGATCATTAACTTGCGGCGCTGTAAAGAATGTCTCTACGAGAATGACCAAACACTTACGGGAATACGAAAACACAGGGCCAAATATCTAAACGTAGTTTAGCCAGTGTTTAACAAAACCTCGTTCTAAGTCGACTAAGTCATTTTCAATTTGCCCAACGATTTTATCTAAACATCATTTATTGTGTCTGAACAGTTTTATGAAAGCATATAGAGAAGACTAAAAAAACATTTATCTTCTTAAAACAACCCACCAAAGAAGAGATCTGGAGGTTCAAAGATTCGTTAAACCGCGGCTTAAGTTAGACTTCGTTTAAGTATATATTTGGCCAGGGGGTTGATATGAGGAAATGAAACGAGGTTTGTCAAGGCGACCTATGAGTACATCTCCGAACTGGCACTACCACCGAATCGAATGTGTGCGTGAGTGCGCGTGCGCTCGCACCCTTTGTTACGAATAACTCTATGTTTGCGTCAGCATGGTTTGTCTTGTCGTTTTTTTTTTCCTCTACCATCATGAAACTGTTTGTGCTCGTTGCTGGGCTGATCTTTTACCATCCACTTATTTGTCGTAGTTATCCTGTATATATACCGATCTACAAGAAGGACACACCATGTAAGTAAACACGAAACCTATGACGAAAATGCGAGGAGAGTAAAATCTAGAATAAATCCCTAACTGATTCAGGTGACAAAAGCCAGTTCTCGCAGCTCGTGAGGAACCTTGTTTAACCAATTTTTAGTGTAGATTTATCAAGCTATTTACTTTTTCATAGAAATAAGTAAAGGGGAATATTTTTTCTTCTTGTCTGGTTAGCAGGGTTGGAGAAACCTCTCAGAGTCTTTTTTACTGTTTCCTGGCAACAAGTACTAAGTACAACAAAAACAACAACAACTTTATTCAGTATTGCCATTTCTATAAATGGTGTTATACCGACTGAAATATAATAATAAACAGAGAGAGATAAGGAAATACAGATGTAATTGATCAAATGGTATAATTAATTATTATGATGTTATTTCGTCTTTCTTATGCTTGAAAAACGAAATAAGCAGTTAGCCTGCTGATATGCGAATTAGTATTGTTGAAAAGAAAACAGACTTTATCCTGGTTATTGTAATGCATTTCGTTCGTTGATTATAATAAAAAGAGTCTTTCTTAAATCATCATGTAGGTCACAGTGATATAACTGATAGTTGCATTTCAGTTCAACTGAATCTAGACTGCAGTGATCACAAATTCTAAGATCTTCAGGAGTTTTGGGAATTGGGTAAGCTTGACGGAAGACCCCAACAACACTTGTAAAAGAGATTGCTGTCATTAACTCGAGAGCGTTTTGAACTAGCAGTCTTCCACAGCTCTAGAGTAAACCAGTGGGCTACTTTTGCAACGTTGAGAAAAAACATGTCTGAAACTCTAGTAAAAAGTAACAGTGAAAATTACTGCAACAGTGCTTGAAGAGTGTATTACAGGTGAGAATCAACGAGTATATAGCTTAAATAAAATAATAACCTAAAATCAAATTTGAACTGTAAAAAAGTGCGTTCATAAGTGATTGCTTTAAAACAGTTATCTTTGACGAAATCCTCATTGAGGTTTACTCAGTGTACTACACGAAAGCAAACACCTTTTTTTTTTTCAAAGCCTCCACACTTGAGCTCCCCAAAACCAGGGTTGTTTATGTAATTTACATGGGCAAACCGACCGCTTCAAGGTTTAATTGTCAAATCTTCTTGAACGGCGTGTGATTTTCTCTTTCATTGTGCTTGTCTTTAATCTAGATTGCATGAAGCCCTTGATAAAGAGCGAAGATTTTCACTTAAGGAACATACAGGTTTCGTCTATGCACAATGAATTCGGCGATCCAATGCGCGTAGGTTTGTTCAATCCCTGGTGTACTTCTGCCGGAAACCAATTTGGAGAGTGGGTGCAAATTGACTTGGGTAAGTTATTTAATTAATTGATTTGAGCTACATACAGTCGAAGCTCTCCAAGCGTCCAGCTCTAGTTACGACCACTTTTGTGAAACCCCGTTTGAACTTTAATGAAACTGTACACTGCCCTATAAGGCCATCCCAATAAAATGTTTCGTTTCCCATCGCCCCTTCCCTTGTGATGGTGGGTCGGTCGGTCGGGCAAAAAAAAAGGGAGAATGAATACTTGAAGGGGTCTGGGTTCCAGAGAAGGCCAGGCTGCTAAGAGAGAAAGCCTGGTTACAAAGTCAACTCGAAAACTTGGTCTTTTCGACTATCAAATGTCTAAACAGCCTTTAAAAAACGTAGTATCGATATTAATTAAAGACCAGGATATCACACCATACCAATATACCAATTGTTGTTAATAAGATCGTGTGTTTGTAAATTAAAGTACTTGCTTCTTTGACTGGTGAATCTGGAACTTTTTTTTTACTTTTAGAAAAAAATAGGTCGGTCGGGCGATGGGAAACGAAACATTTTATTGGGATGGCTAATAAACTAAAAACATGGACGTAAAGGTTAGCCGTGTCTATAACAGAATGATATTAAGACACTCATTAAACGTTCATTTTTTTTCTTTATGAGTTATTTAGGTATTTGTAAAGCTCTTGTAAGTGATCACCGTCTAAAAGCGTTTTCACTCACGTGACCAGCTTCTATGCAAATTTTTGGAACAAATGAAAGCGTTTCCATAAGAAAAGAGTTCAACTCCTACGGGATTGGTCTGGAACACCAACATGGCCGTCGTTTTATTGTTTTGGAACACCAATATGGCCGCTGTGGCGTGAAAACGCCTATTGTTTTACCATGCAGTCGCTTACCAGAGCTCATTCTCGTGAGCGACCAGCTCCAGTCGACCACTTTAATTTTTCGAATTTCCAATTTGGTCGCTTACGAAAGCTTCGCCAGTGTATAGGGTATGTTATTGGAAGTACAGGGGAGCTGGCATTACTTTTGGCAGAACTAAGATAAACTGGATAAACTTGAGCGGGCACGACAGGCCCCTCTCAATTACTCGAGAATAAACCAATTAGAAGGCAGGATTCGTTCTATCTTTCTCACTCTTGGAAAAAGCTATGGATAATGATATCATGTGGCATGTCTGTCTACATTAACCGATAAGATTCGCGGACGGTTCTGCCGCGAGAAAAATTTGATTCTGATCAACTACCGTATTTATTCGATTAAACGCCGCGGCGTTTATTTAATTTTTAGCGTTTCTGATGCGGCGTATATTTCAAGATCACTTTTTCAAATCACTGACAACAGTTACTGTAAATCGTTTGTAAAAATTATGTAATTGAAAGGTTCCAATGTGTATCCTATTTTGCTGAGGTAGAATCGTAAATGTCTGGAAGGTGTAAATTACCAAGTTGTACCGAATTTTTTCTTATTCGTCCTCTAGTAAACACCGCATTCTTCTTGATGAGGCCCAGCGTTTATTCGAGGACGGCGTTTAGTCGAATAAATACGGTAATCAGAAGAACCACTACCTAGATCAGGGTAGTGACACGTCATCAGTATGGAATTTCTGCGCTCGTTTCTCAGTCGTCAATTTCGCGGGGAAACCAGAGGTGGAGTCGTGAAATGTTGACTGTTAACACACCTCGGTTANTATGTAATTGAAAGGTTCCAATGTGTATCCTATTTTGCTGAGGTAGAATCGTAAATGTCTGGATGGTGTAAGTTACCAAGTTGTACCGAATTTTTTCTTATTCGTCCTCTAGTAAACACCGCATTCTTCTTGATGAGGCCCAGCGTTTATTCGAGGACGGCGTTTAGTCGAATAAATACGGTAATCAGAGGAACCACTACCTAGATCAGGGTAGTGACACGTCATCAGTATGGAATTTCTGCGCTCGTTTCTCAGTCGTCAATTTCGCGGGGAAACCAGAGGTGGAGTCGTGAAATGTTGACTGTTAACACACCTCGGTTATCTGTTATCATTTGCTTGCACTCTGGAAATTTACTTGAAAAGTCCCTTCAACATACATTTTACGTGACGTCATCACCTAATGTTAATTAATAAAGAAAATCAATCGACTGCAACCAAAAAGCTTCTATGTTGTCGTTTATGATCTACTAATTTTCGCAGAATCCATGAAGCTGATTTCTGGTGCTGTCGTCGAAGGTTGGAAATGGGGCCAAGGTGGTGGACCTGATAAAGAATGGACTGATACAGTTACTCATTACAGCGTTGAATTCAGCCCAGATGGTCGGCTGTGGACAGTAGTCAAAGATGAATATGGCCTTCCTAGGGTGAGTTATCACTGCCACACTTCCTCATCAGAGGGTTTTATGAAGGTTGGCGCGAAGTGGAAGCAGGAGGAGCAAATGTTTATTCGGAGGCCCCAAAACGTCGACGGGGAGGGCAACGGAAAAGTCAAAAAACAGTAGGTTTATTAAGCAAAACAAAAACTTTGCAAGTGCGTCACGCGGTTTGGCTATTTCGTCGTCGTCACTGTTCAATTACGACTTGAAATGACCAGATTTTATAAAATTCTTTTTGAGGACGTTCACGGTAAGGCGATAATTTTTATTCTACCTTTCTGAGCTCTATTGCGATTCTTTGTCTTCAGCTCTAGCTTAATTTTTCAAATTTTAAGAAACTACGGAGGAAGGTTTTTCAGTGACGTTTTTTATAATGACATCTCCGTTGGCAGATCGTAAGGTTTCTTATTAACAGAGAGAAGACTACAGAAAAAAGGTCGGTCTCTCGACGCTCAAATATCGCTTGTCAAAAACAACAGACTGTCATACGTTTAGTCATATATTCGTATGTTTCCTTTTTGCAGCATTTTCGAGTGGAGAGGGAACACAAATCCGTGCGAAAAAATTACTCCAAAGCTAAAGCTCGGTACCAGGCTTTCGACCCTTTTCTTCACGCTCGATTTTTTCGGCTAAAGATTCGCGCATGGCGAGGTCATCAGTGTCTCACTTTGGAGTTGTATGGATGCGACTCATGTGAGTATAACTTTTTAGAAAAATATTAAGTTATCTATCTCCCCGCTGTGAAAACCTGCAAACATCGAGTTATGAATCAACTCGGGAGGTTGCTGAATACGAAAGAAGCGTTTTTCCATTTGCAGACCATGTAATGTTACCCCGGGGAACTGCTTTTTTTCAATAGTCGCGCGATCCACGTGCATAAGCTTGCATAACTAACTGGATAGTGCTTCTGATTGGTTGAAGCAAATTTCCCAAACGGCATGACTAATCAGAAGCACTACCCAGATCTGGGTAGTAACACGTCATCAGTATGGAATTTCTGCACTCGTTTCTCGGAGGTCATTTCGGGAGGAAACCGTTGGTGCCGTCGCGACAAGTCGGCTATTGAGAATATCACGTTGTCTGAATTAGGAAAATATAGCCTACAAGCTAAATCAGTCTATTGTATAGAGCAACTCTAGCCTCTTGACTGCTTAGAAAACCTCCCAAACTAATCCATAAATCGGTAGTTCCATCGCTAAGGCTTTTACTATTTCTTTTATGACATAACTAAAGAGAAAAACATTTCAATCTACCTACTGGAGTTATGGAGAGGGGGCACGCGTGCGTCTTCATTTACGCTCGATAAAGAAGAACAATATTTGTCTTTGATTTAGTTTGTGCGATGTTTTTCATGTCTTTTTTAACGAAAATAGTTTGTGTCTTGCCTTCGGGTATTTCTGGTTATATAATGTAGTATCATGGGAGAGTTTGATGTTAACCATTTAGGTCTTCTTCCCATGTGACAGTCATGTTGAATCAGGGCTGTCAACTCTTTCGGATAATCCGGGAGACTCCAGATTTTGAACCGTTTCTCCCGGTCTCCTGGTTAGAGTCTGAAATCTACCGAATAATCGTCGAAATTTGCCATTTCTTGAAGAATCGACTTTCTGACAATATAACTTCAAATACCTTGCGTTGTTTGAGCTATTTTACTGTTAACATCGAACGTTTCCTCACAAATTTCGGTATGCCATTCTAATACAAGCAACAATGTTATTGGTGCGAAGTAAGCCAATTAGGTCAAATGTTACAATTCCAGTAACATCTTTTTCGCGCGTTTTTTTTTTCACAAATAACGTCATGTGACGTGTGAGTTATGACGTCATTTATCATGGTTGACAGCCCTGGTTGAATTCTTGATACTGCAATTAGCTTTATAAGAGTAANCAATTAGGTCAAATGTTACAATTCCAGTAACATCTTTTTCGCGCGTTTTTTTTTTCACAAATAACGTCATGTGACGTGTGAGTTATGACGTCATTTATCATGGTTGACAGCCCTGGTTGAATTCTTGATACTGCAATTAGCTTTATAAGAGTAAAATTTGTGTGACTGCAATCCCTTATTTTACTTTGAATTTGTTTATATGTTCCGCAAGACTGGGCAATGGAAAACAAGCAACTCATACAAAGGCAGAAGAGGATCAACATTGGTGAGTTTGACCTTTTATTGTGTTCAATATCTTCATGCACAGCTAGCTAATTCGCACTGGCCCACTGAAGACTGTTATTCGAAGACGATATATTTCAGGCTTTTTTGGAAGAACCTTTTTGCGGTTTTGCTAACCTTATATAATTCTAGTAAGCATGTGTGCAGTCAAATAACTACATTTTACCGTGTCTAATCAACATAATGGTCACATAAAACCCGAAATTTGGACAGATGCGTGCACTATGATACTTTCTTTTACATCTGAAGAGTCCTATTCATACCCAAACGTCCCATGCAACACGTTGGGCAACGTTGTCCAACATAAACGCTGGATAATTATCTAGCAGACTTTAAAGCTGCGAGCAAACGGACACAGAATTTCCCAACATTGTTGGCCAGCAGTGTTGCGTCCATTTGCACGGGGCTTTAGATAGTGATCTTTTTCTTTTCACATTTTTTGTCTTTTAACAGAGCATTGTCATTATCTCCAGCCAATAGAAGTGAAATACTGGCAACTGACACCTGGTTCTGCCGTAAGTTAACCATTATTAAACATGAAGATATTGATGATTTGTTTAGTTCTTCGCGCGTTGCCTACTTTTGCCTTACTTCACAATGTACTCTACAGTAAACCATAAACATAACGTAAAGCAACTACGGTCAAACCTCCATGCGCTACCACTTCTCGTAAGCGGCCACCTCCCATAAGCGACCACACATATCCAAAGACCAAAATGTTTTCAATCAAAACCCCAGCTATGATTAGAACCTTTCGTAAGCAACCTCGTCTCTTACCCAACCACTTTTGAGTTGACCGTTTTTTCATTTTTCCATGATTGTTTTAAGCCTCTTGTAGGCGACAAAGTTGACACATTGTCTAACGAATGTTTGCTCACTGAATGTACTACGCTATTCACACTATAAAGAACGCTCCTCTTCAAGTAGTAGATATGGTGGGACCTCTTTTGGGAGGAGACCCCCTGTAATTCGATTCTCGTTAATTAGACTGCCAGCAGTCTCTATTTTTCTTCAGATTTAGTGAGGGGTGTGCACAAGCGCGCTAGCATCGAAGAAACGAGGGCATCCCTCACCCGGTTTGGGTCACCTGCGGTAAAAGAAACAAAGGAGATGTTCTTATACAAGTTTCTATGATTGTGTGACTAAAAAGGTCTCTAGTCTTAAACAGGGTAGCGATTGGTAAACGCACTTTCTTCGTCTTAAACATGGTTAGGGTGTAAAGGTCTGGTCGGCATATCTCCACCCAAAGTTGCCTTTATTGCCCCGCCCAGTTTGGGTGACATCCTTTGTGGCAATTTGTCGAACGACCTTTGTCACGCGGAGGTCACTTTGTCAGTCAGGAGATTTAAAAAGCTTTGTTTATGCACGGCTAGCTTCGTAGAGAGAACGAGGCTAGCCGTGCAAAAACAAAGCTTTTTAAATCTCCTGAGACAAAATGGCCTCCGCGTGACAAAGGTCTTTGCATGATTAGGCCTTTAAACATCTACTACCATGCAGGCTTCCACAAGAAATTATGGAAAATGGGGACTCGGTTCAGAAATGAAATGGTGCGTGGCTAAAAACAGACCCAAAGATTCAGGATGGCTCGAGTTTGATCTTCTCTATCCGCGATTCATTTCAAGGATAGTAGTTACCTCAACAAGTGTTCCTGAAAAAGAGGAACAAGACATGGATTTTAGCCAAATATATGTAAGCCTGGATGGAAGGGAATGGAAATCTTTTGGGGTAAGTTACTTTTTCTGTATTCACCCCATAAAAGGGTATCCAAATTCCGTAATCGGAGCAATTTTTGCTAGTGGAATCCGAAAGACGAGAAATTGAGTTGTTGAACCCGAAATCCTGAGCTTTGGAATCAGCAGGACAGCTCAAGGAATCCAGAATCCCGACTTCCACACATAAAGAATGCAGAATCTAGTACCTGCAATCCGGAATCCACGGCGTGGAATCCAGCAGAAAATAAGGCTGTCTTCCAATTGGATTCCCTTACATGGGACGATCTGTATTTTACCAGACAGTAGTAAGCTTAAGCAACGAGAGCGCTGACGTCCCGAAGGTCATGAATAGCAACCAGAAGTTGGATGTCTCGCTTGATGGAACACTTTGGTCGCACACAACCAATCTGAATGCCTTTGTTTTAACTCCCGCTGTACGGAAGAGAGGAAATATCAACTTCCGGTTGACATGTTTGACGTCCGGGACGTCAACGTTCTCGTTGCTTAAGGTCCCGGAAGACGGCTTGCCTAGGGTTCCTTACTCAAAACTATCTCGCATGTCTTAAACGTAGAGACTTAAAGCCACCTCACCTCTTTCCAGGTTCATAGAGCAGCCGTACATTTTTTTATAACTCGTCCGGTTTACTGCCAGGCTTCAGCTTGGGGTGAGGGTATGCTCCCTTAAATTTAAGCCATAGGGGTATGTCCCACCCATAGGGAAAGAGTTTTGCGTCGTTTCGGTCTGAAAACGGGTTTAAACTTTGCCCATTTTCTACTGCAAGTGAGTGTAGTTTTCGAGGGAACTACTGGAGTGTGTGACTAAATTAGTAAGAAAGAAAGAGTAATTTGCGAACTCGAATTAAGTATTCAATGAAGTCTTTTTGTCACGTTCTAATCTAAGTAACGATGACAAACGGGTATGGGTCTTAGAGGCCATGTCTGAAAACATGTGTGAAAAATGACTGTTTGGTCTGAAATAGGGTCAGGATTTGGAGAATCAGGTGGAACACCTGCACTAAGAATTCCCAGGAGTACCCCCGTGCCTATTCTTACATACGTGATCTGTCCGTCGCACTTAAATCAAAATTTCTGAGGTGTAAGTTTTAGGGTTTTTACTGATTACCCGACAATTGCAAGAAAAAATAATGGAATGACATGGGTGGTGAGGTCAGTTTGAGTTGCAAGAACCAGAATTCGAGTTATGCCATGGACCAGTATGGCTCATCAAGGGGGGAGGGGATATATCTAGTCGCTTCTTGCCTTAGAAATCAGGATAAGCTATGCCCTGATGGGCCCCTAGACGTGTATGCAAACTTAGATCCCGTTTGCATACTGGTCTGCTCACATTGTTACACTGAAAAGAACTTGCAAGGGTCCGCCTTTCGTTTACAGGGAACCCGCGGAACAATGCAAGTTTTTGAACGGCAAAGTGTGCAAGTTTAATTTCTTATCTGATCAGAAGAAGGTCAAAGTTTTTACCGGTACGGTTTCACGTTTACACGGACTCGTGTAAACACGTCAACCATGGAAGTTTTTGCACAGTTTGCGCGGTAAAAGCCTGGAGCCTATAGGATAGCCACGCGCGTTCGATTGAAAAAAGCCATAGGAATACTAACACTGTCAAAATTTTTACGCAGTCGTGTTAACCGTACTGTAACAGAATTTGCAGCGTAGTCCCGTGTAAAAGAGTTGCACAGGTAAAAAATCCGTTCGTTTAAAAATCCCGGACTCTGGTAAACAAGGTCTTAACCTCACATTGTTAACATTCCTTTTCAGAAAGGAATTTCCTTGTCATTGGAAGGAATCTACTACCATGAGCGCATTGATGCTGTCAGATATATACGAATTTTTACTCACCTGATTTCTTACTTCTCTACCTGCGTACGATTGCAGTTGTTTGGCTGCTCGGGTAAGCTGTAACTATATAAATGAGTAAATAAATAAATAAATAAATTTAAATAAAAAGTAGTGCGGTAGGGATGTTTTTAGTCGTTTTTTTGGCTCAGGATTATGCAGTGAGCAAGTTCCATACAAGGTCTATGTCACGGCGTTTTCACGTATCCGTAAATTAAAAAAAAAAACATTTCAAAGCACTTTTTCCCCCGCAATTTTTTTTTTAAATTCCATGCTTTTTACACACATTACAAAAACATAGAAACTTAAAAATACAGAAGAAATTCACTTAATACAAAAGAAACAAAATGAATTAACAGGATATTGCGTAGAATAAATTTTTTCCTTTTGTTTTTTGGAATCTGTTTATATTGGATATTTTTCCCGAGAAAATGGACTCCCCGCCTTTGTCAGTGAGCGCATTCGAAGTTCAATGGAACCCCGCCTTATGCACCTATCAATATAAATCCCGTGAGGGGGGAGTGCGGGCAAGGGGCGGGGATTTGATGCTTGAGACTATACCCCTGTCGGGCTTTTGATCGTGCGAAGCGACCCCGGGGTTGGGACATTTGACTTTGACCGACAGAAGCCTGGTATCAATTCAGAAGCGGTTACCAAGTCCGTCCCTCGAGGCTTTCTGAAAGTCACCCTGTTGGAGAAGGGTATGAAGTTAATAATGTCTATTTTGAGAAAGGTTTTATCTTCAAGTTCCCATCTGATTGTATAACTCGATTGAAATCGAATTCCACCATGAAAGTCAGAGGATTTTTTACGGGTCACTGATCCGACCTGTTCCGACATCTTGAGCAGATGTTATAAAGCATTTTACGTTTCATTAATATTATAATAGCACAGTCAATCTTCCTGGAGTGATTTTGTTGTTCAAAATAGGAGATGCTAGTGGAGAGAGAAAATACTTAATTACAGCGAGTAATTTAACGGAGCTTACGTTAACCAAAAAGAAAAGCATTAAGAACGTACTTTTGAAATATTCTTTTAATTTGTTTTATATAGTGTCATAGTATTCTTTGTTTAGATTTTTTCCCCTGGGGTGGGGGCTTTTTTGACCCTTTTGATCAACCTTTCGTTTCCCCCCCTGGGGAATTTGATCAAAAAATTTCAAAATTTGTCAAATCCCCACCCCTTGCCCGCACTTCACCCTCACGGGGTTTACATTGATACGTGCATTACGACCAACCCGTTTATACGACCACCGTGTTAATACGACTATATTCTTTAAACCCAAAAGAAAAAAACAAGGAGTCATTTATTTTTTTTGAAGACCCCGTTAATGTGATCACCTAGTTATTACGACCAGGATTTTATGGCCCAGCTGTGGTCGCCTTAACGGGGTTCCAGTTGAAGAGATATGAAAAAATAAAACTTAACGTAATTAAAAGATAAAAAAAAACCCTTTTTTCAGGTCTATAGGTCCGCTGACTGGTTTGTGAAACTTAAAAGATAATTTGCATTCGAGCCAAATTTGTTGTAAAAATTAACTGATTGCCGCGACACGCTAACATGGCAGGCATTCACTCTGAGTTAGTTGAAATCTCATTTAGATACATCGCATACTATGTTAGTTTTTTTTTTTTTTTTACAGGTTTTTAGTTATTTTGAATCGATAGGGTTATATCCTTATTTAGTCATGACGAAGTCATGAATTATTTTTCCTCGTAAGGACATACCCTTGTTTAGACATGACGATGGCCTCAGTCGACTAAGAATTTAAACTTCGGTTTTCATTGGCTGAATTAATGCCGAGTAAGCGCCAGCCTCTCTGTCATTGATATGCACGAGTTACGCAACTAATATCAGTGAATCGGATCCGGAACAATGTTAGGGGCAAGAAATTAAGGCCCCGTCCATACGTATCCTGATATTTTTAAATCCGCAACTTTTTCTTTGCGGATAAAGCTTCCGTTCACACATATCCGATGAATCCACGTACGAATCCGCAACTTTTTGAACAGTGGAAAGTTTTTAATACGCTATGACTCCGGAATCGTGTGGACGCTAAATCCAGATATTTTTACCCGATTGCGTAACAAGATCGAGCCCAGTTCTTTACCGTGAAAGGTCAAGATGCAAATTTCGCGCGCTTTACGACGCATGCTCTGTTGCCCATATTCCCAGAGGAGTCCTAGGTACGAGAATGAATCCGGATACGTGTGGACGTGGAAATTTTTGAATCCGGGAAATTGTTTGAATTTAAGAATTTCTGGTTAGAATATTGATTATTTCTGTTTGGCTCAGGCAGCTTCAGAACATGGGCGTTGAAAGTGAAATTCCTACCTTTCCAGCTGATCTGGATATACTTTGTGACACGTCGTTCTTTACAAAGTCACTGAAATTTAATTGTCAAAATGTTAATTATAATTTCATGTTTACACACGAATGTTACCAACCGGATGCTTGCAGATCAGCGCCAGGCGTTTTTCGGAGAACTAGTAACAACAACAGTGTTATACTCTCTCTTGTGTGATCTTGAAACGTTTCTTTTTCTGAACGCCATTTTACTGATTTCAAACCCTTTGCCATAAATCTGAGGAACGATCGGTTGGAAAGGAAAATTTCATAAGGGAAGCCAAAACTCGGCATTTATTTGATTTTAATACACATCTGATTCATGGCACTGTTCTTATTGGTGACGAGTTTAACATAAAAAAACATAAATCTTAAAAATGTATCATTTATGTACAACAGTGACAATGCACTAACAAGTTACGAACTGCATTATTATACAGATGAGGTGCAGTCGCTAGGGCTGTGGAATGATAAAGGTAGAGTCAAGTTTTCTGGAGTGACATTGTTTCAACGTTCGTCGTCCGCCACACCTCAGCAAATACGCCTCGTCAAGCCTGGACAAAGTCTGTCTTGTTTTCTGGTATGTTTATAAGAGGATGATTTTTTATAGATAATAGAGAGAATAGACCTTTTTACCGGTAGGGCGGCCATATTGAATTAATTCGATTTGAGGAGTATTATAGGATGCACAGGGGCTTGAGCACATTTTGTTTGTATTTTCGAGCGCTTTTCGGGACATTTTTTCTTAAAGTTTTCTTACAGTAAGATTGTAATGGGGAAAAAGATCCTTGTGCCGTGTTTGGATGTAATAATGATCGCCTTTCTCCCGAGAAATATACAGTGAAAGACCATATTTCTACTGAATCTCTATAATATCTTAGAATCTTTTGTAGATAGTCGCGGCACATTTTTTTCTCATTTTTTATTAAGGCCTAAGCCCTAAGCCGAAGGCCCTAAAATAGGTTACATGATTGTTTTTTGGGTCAGATGTCTAAGTTAGGGTGCGTCAAACCAATCAACTGAATCAGATCAGTAATAAATTTTCCCCCGAACGAGGCCAAATAAACATTATCACACAATTTTTAAATTTATTAGTTTAGTTTGTCACATGTGAAGATCAACGTGTGTCCTGGAGAAGTTCTTCAGACGTTCTTTTCGGACGGTCCAAACTAACTCGGACGAACCTAACTAATAAAAAGTGTTAGCCAGAAGCCGAACTTTTAATTTCCTGAACTTTACACACTTAGTTTGGTTCGTCTCATGAAAAGTTCGACGTTTGGCCTAGGCCTAAGGCTCCCCTCATGTCAATGACAGAATGGCGTTGCCCTTACAAACCTCATACTCAGGGATTTTCCCCTAGAAAGTATGACGGGCGGAAATACTGACTATTGTTTAACTCAGTTGGAAGAGCGCCAGTCTACTGAACAAGAGATCGAGAGTTCAAATCCCGGCCGGACTCAAGATCCTTAAATAACTGAGAAGAAAGTGCTGCTTTTGTTATGACATCTGCAAACCGTTAGACTGTCTAGTCTTCTAGGATAAGGAGGAAAAACCGTAGGTCCCGTCTCACAGCACTTTTACTCTTCTGATTCTTATGGGACGTAAAGGAACCCACATCATCGTTCAAAAAGAGTAGGGGACATAGACCCGGTCATGTGTCCAAACTTTCCTGGGCTGGGTGAGTTATCTGTAAAAAGATATCTTAATAGGGTGATAACCTCATNAGCCAGAAGCCGAACTTTTAATTTCCTGAACTTTACACACTTAGTTTGGTTCGTCTCATGAAAAGTTCGACGTTTGGCCTAGGCCTAAGGCTCCCCTCATGTCAATGACAGAATGGCGTTGCCCTTACAAACCTCATACTCAGGGATTTTCCCCTAGGAAGTATGACGGGCGGAAATACTGACTATTGTTTAGATCAGTTGGAAGAGCGCCGGTCTACTGAACAAGAGATCGAGAGTTCAAATCCCGGCCGGACTCAAGATCCTTAAATAACTGAGAAGAAAGTGCTGCTTTTGTTATGACATCTGCAAACCGTTAGACTGTCTAGTCTTCTAGGATAAGGAGGAAAAACCGTAGGTCCCGTCTCACAGCACTTTTACTCTTCTGATTCTTATGGGACGTAAAGGAACCCACATCATCGTTCAAAAAGAGTAGGGGACATAGACCCGGTCATGTGTCCAAACTTTCCTGGGCTGGGTGAGTTATCTGTAAAAAGATATCTTAATAGGGTGATAACCTCATGATCCTCCTTCAGGAGTAGTAATGGCTACCAGTTAACAGTGTATATGTATGAGTAGTAATGGCTACCTTTATGTACCTTATGTGTGTGTGTATTAATAATCAAAGTTGCTTTCAAGCAAGTCTTTTATCATATGGCTACAATATTACGCGCGCTCTGATTGGCTGCTAAGCAGGCATTATGCCAAGGCATATACAATTTGTGTTTAACTTGATGTTGGACATCCTTGTGAACTTCCATGTTATGGTCAATTGACAGCTGTCAGAAAGAGTATCCGCTAAGCATTGTCACATGACTGTATCGTGGGCTCAAGTGTACAACTCATTGAGATGATGTGTCTTTAAAGTTATCCGCTTACTTGTTATTGGTTTAAATTGATCGCAGGCTCAGTTCCACGAAAATAAGGCCATAAAATAAATAACTTATTGTGACGCTACTTACAGTTAATAAGTTGTATATAATTTTTTACAGAATCATGACAATGTTAGGTGGATTGAGATTGACATGCGCAAAGTTTTTGCCGTCACACGGATTATTTTTCTTGGAGCAAAGTCAGATGAGAGAGGAAAGGAATGCCTTAAAAGCAAGTCTGCCAAGCTAGTGAACATTCATTACTCCATCGATGGTCGAATATGGAGCCTATTTGGAACATACAACCAATTATCCGGGGATAAGTCAAACATGGTAAAATTGTAGACATTAAATTTTTAACTCATCTCAGTGTGATTAATTTGAAATTTGTTTAAACAGTTGTTAAAAATGAGGGTTACTAATTATAAGCTGTGTGCAAATTCATAAGGAAATCTGAATGGTTTTTTGCCTGGACCCACTAAATCCGAAATTTTACAACAATTACTGCATATTCCCGCAGTATATACTCGCACGGCTTATTTTTCGGCAGTCTTTTAGCTCATTTTTGAGACAGAATCCATTAAGAAAATGAGAAATTTATATATTTTCAGCGGGCAAAAACCTTGTTCCTGAATAATTTACAATTAAAGCATATTGGATTCTTCTTTACACTCTCCAAGGGCTATAGATTTAATAAGTTATATGTAACAACACAAAAATAATTCTGATGGGAGCCCGAACAAACAAATTTCAGAAGCTTCAAATTCTTATGCAAGAAAGTTTACGTGTGTTTTCTCAATTGCTGTGAAATTTGAAAGTTATTTTTCTCGGGCTCCCAATAAGAAATTGTCTACAGCCAACTTAGTATCTATAGATAGCTATTTTTGTCGAATTAGTATAAAAGAGAATGCGATATGGCTTAAAATATCCTGGTGCAAGGTTATAATTTTTGTATACTGAAAATTAAAATTACTCAATTTCCTGGTCGATTCCGTCAGCTAATAACTAACAACTGTTTTGTTTGAAACTGTTGTGTTTAGGGTCTTAATATACACTTCGAAGAAAAGTACGGGCCCGGGTGTTTTGCGATGTTGGATATAATGCCTACGATATACGCCAGACATATCCATTTCTATCAGAGGGCAAGACCAAAGACGTCTGGGGTAACTGAATGCCTAGCTTTAGACATATTTGGAAATGAACCAGGTAATTTTTTCCGAGATTTGGAATTTTGTATACTAAATGTAAACACAATGACTCTTTATAAATTTAAACTTACTTAAGACATGCAAACACATTTAAACGAACCAATGATATCATACAAACTGACAAAACAAACACTACCTATCGCTATTTACAAACTCAAAAAGTGCTAAACTGACATGATTGACTTCAGGTTTCAACTGCTCTATAGGAAAGATCTTTCTATATATTTTAAGTCGATAATAAATAAAGAAGAACTGGTGGCCTTGCTGTTTTTACAATATTGCTATATTTCAGAATTGGCGAAAATCTTTTACACATGACATGACATCTTTTGCACATGACAAATGGTCCTCGAAGTTAGAGAAAATATTTATTAACTGTAGATGATGATCGATCCGCACTGAGTAAATAGATTTCTTGTGATTTTGCCTGTGTTGTTAGGAAATCCCCGGCCATATTACGGAAGAAGAAAACCAGGTACTTGAAATTTTTTCTTGCTATTTCATTGTCACTCGTCCTTGGCTAGTTGAGCACACACGTCTTATACTACCCAATGGTATATATGGGCATAATTCAGCCTAGTCCCTAGGCGGTATAGGTTCCGTCAAGGGTACGTCAATCCTAGACTAGACCCTACTAAGAGCTGTGACGTCACCTTGAGAGACTCGCCGAGGTTCTCTCTCCCACCCTTTCCCAGACTTAGCTCGGGCAACGGGTAAAGAGAAAACGCCTAAGGACGAGGCTGTGGATAACTGTTTTGTGAATCCTCACGTAAATCAACATCAACATCATCATCGCCTTCACGTCATCATCATCATCAACATCATTATCACCAATATCGCTTTCACATCATCATCGTCATCATCATCATCGCCTTCACATCATCATCATAACCATCATCATCATCAACATCATCATCACCAGTATCGGTTCACATCATCATCGTCATCATCGTCATTATTAACATTATCATCACCAATATCGCATTCACATCATCGTCGTCTTCGTGAATATCATGATTATCATCATCATCTTCAAAATCATTTTTATTATCGTCATCACCATAATCATCATCGTCGTCATCATCACGTCATGACTTTTTGTGTCTTTTCTCAGGTTGCAATTCTCCACTTGGAATGGAATCTAAGAAAATTAAAGACTCACAAATCAAAGTTTCGACATTTAGTACCTCAAGATTTGATACGAGGGCCACCAATGCTCGCCTTAACAGCAATGGGGGATGGTGTGTGAAAACAATGCTCACTTTCTCAAAAAAGGAGAAAAAGTTTCATATACCTAATGAGTACTTAGGTAAGTAAACGCTGGAAAACATCAAAAGCCAGTCAATAATTTTAGAAAATTAAGGTGGCCGCTATTGAAAATGACCGACAGCGGTTTACTTTCGAATTGTTTTCAGTGTTTTGACTCCGACACAAACCTGAAACTATATTGCTGTCGTCGTTTTAGTATCTTAAACTTCTAAACGATTTGCTAGTTATATTATCTTCCATTGGAACGGAATGAGACAAACACTGATGACTGATCAGGAAAAAATTCCTAATAAAGAATTTTTGATAAAGAAATTCTTTGACTAAAAAACATTTTCGAAATGTTCGGTCCAGTGAGCAGCTTAACTGACAAATATGACATACAATAAGACGACATATTTGAATGATAAATGATCGAAACTCTCCACACGCCGCACATCACTGTTCACCTTACTGCTTAATCGTGTCTATAACCTAAATGTCAGTTTCCGCGCAGGTTTTCGCTACGTTTTTCAAGGAGGTCATTCTCGACCCCAGTGCTTACGGGTTTGGGAATACGCGCGTAAGCTCTGGGAAACTCTGCGCCGGAGTAGCCAAAATCTGGCTATTAGAGCCTCACGGCGCATGCTCTTTGATCCAACCAAAACTTTTTGCTTCTTTTATATCTGCTTCATAGCGAAAGTCTTGTGCTGCTTCGGTATTAGAACTGAAGAAATTCAGTTAACGGCCTTGAAGAATTTTCAGGTATCCAAAGCTCTTGTGGTAACTGCTGAGAAAATACCGTTAAACGTTCCCAATCACAGATTTGAGACTTGAAGTTTGCATATGCTTGACAGTTAATTTTAAAAATATTTCTGTGGACTACTTCGAATTCACGAGGCGGTAAGTGAAACCCGAATGGCTTGTTGAGATAAACGTATGTCGAAATTCCAATAAAACTTTCCAAAATATAAATGTAGCGTCCTTTTATTTATGTTTTTTCAATTCTGCCTAATTAGTCTTGCAAATGTTGTTTTGGAATCGCTGAAATCAAGAATTGGCCGGTCGTGTTTACTTCAACATTTCCGGGAAAAACCCGCTCACACGCCAGACACGCCGCACGTTCAACCTCTCTCGTGCAAACATGAATGCACCAATCAGAAACACTTTTATTGTTTTTTGCTGAAACCAGTCAGAGACAATCTTGCTCCTGGGTTCCTCAGAGCTCGTGATCTCTCTCTTCCACATGCCCAGAAGAGCTCTGGGTCGAGATTGCAAAGAGGTTTAATACTACGATCTGATACCCTCTTAAATAAACCGTGTGACGTTAAGCAACTTTAACGCAAACAGCTTTCCTAACAAGAAAGAAAAAAATTGTTTAGTTTGGTCATTTGCGTAATAAATTTCATTTTGCTTGTAAGAATGCGGCCTGTCTGCTGCATCTTTTTATCGACGACGCTGACCTTTCATGTTGTATTTTGACAACTCAAATTCCCAAACTTATCAAACCTTCGTCAGGAATGGCCACCTTTTTCTTTTCCTCTGACTATCCTCAGAAATCGATCTGCTCTCGGAGAAGTTCATCGATGGATTTGCAACTCAAGGTCACTCAAGCTATAGCAATGGACGCTGGGTCACTGGATATGTGGTGCATTACAGTCTCAATGGGTTTTCATGGGATGTTATCAGTGCCGAGGAACGCGAACGAGTAAGTGGTTTCATTCTGTACTAGAGCTGAGTCACCTAAGTGATAACATAGCTCGATCCATTCCTTGCCAAACTTGTTACTCAATAGGCCCTTTACAACTTGGGGTCACGTGACCTGTGTCATGCCAGTAGTACGGGATAGACCCCACAAATTCAATACACTGAAAGAAGATAAAGCGAATAGTGGGTCCGTCATTTACTTTTTTAAAAAAAGTTTCAAACTCATAACAGTGCGATCTTATAGTGGTTTAAAATGACTGAGTAAATACTTAAAGTAGCACCAGTTCTCAGGCAAGGCTTTTTCCCTAAAAAAAGGTTGGGGGGGAGGGGGGTGGAGGGCTTTTAGCAGTGCTTATACATTTTTTAACTTATACCAATAATTACATAGGCTAGTTTTTGTGTATTATGCTCATTTGAGCAAAAAATTGAGAAATTATGATTCTATCTTTTACTTTAAATCTGGCAAACACCTACACAGCTATGCAACAATCAAGTAAATGGTAAAGATATTTACCCTATTTGCAACTAGAAACGTCACTAGAGCATAATTCATTATAAATCCCTCTCTATTATCACTGTATGCATTCGTTGTTGAGGACGCCATTTTGGGTAACCGTGCAAGTTATGCGCATGCGTTTAAGTCCTGTGGAAAGAGTTCTGGGTCCCCTCCTGTGGGACCCTAGCCTGCGAACAGCAGACGCATTCCAGGTCGTCGCTTCTCTCCCTCCGAAAATTCGGAGGGAGAGAAGCGACGACCGAAAATGCGTCTGCTGTTCGCAGGCTAGTGGGACCCAGGTCCCCCAGTATAAATGTGACAATAAGCAGACAAAAAATTGATTTTGTATTTGCCTGTAACACTTATTTCGGGCCAAAAACATTGGTTGCATGTGATCAATAAATGAAAATTTCTGGTCTAGCAGAGCTTTTTTTTCCGAAAATAGACAAAAATTGTGCTCGTAATGACGAGTTATGACAAAAAATATGCTAGCATAATCTATCAAAGGCCATGTATCCCCCCTTTTTTTGCGTTAAGCAGGTCACGTGACTGCGAGCTGCAAAGAACCTATCGATAGCAGATGGAAGCTCCGGTGTATTATAGGTTCCTGTTTCCATTTAAAAGTGGAAACAACTGTGAAACAGATTAAATATCATCGTCTCGTCTGTCAATAGAATTACCAGATATTTCATTGAGTCTTGTTTCTTATAGTCAACTCGCGCCTTGTGGACACCCCGCTATAACGGAGACCCCTAAAAACGGACAGCATAGCTAAATTCCTGGCAAAAATAAATTACTGAAATTAACGTCCGCTATTAAGAACTCTCGCTAATGAGGACACCAACTCGAGGTCCTTACGGTGTCCTCTATCCTCCTCTTTGGAGGTTAGTGTAAGAGGAAGAAGTCTTAAATTGGACTAACCTCAGATTGTTTGATAATGTCAAGGAGTACTTACCACTCGCCTTCGGATTTGGAAACACACTCCGCGATAGAGTGCTTCAGGTTTAGGTTTTGTAGCATTTTTCCATCTTAAGATGCAAACCCTCCTTAGTTGTTCGTGTTTTTTTTTTTTGTGCCTTATGAGGCGTTTTAACATTAAATATTAAATAAATTAAGAACAATAGATAAAAGAATGAATAATAGGAAATTGTAGACCAAAATATAATTTTTGTTTTTCTTTTAGTATTTCGTAGCTAACAAAAATAGAAGAGACACCGTTCGTCAGTATTTAAATCCCCGAATTCGCGCTCGTTTCGTAAGATTTGTTCCCGTCGCGTGGCACAACTGGATCTGTATGAGGGCAGAAATTTACGGTTGCGATGCCGGTAAGTCAGAAAATTTCCCAATCTTTACAAGGCACTAGCACCAACTTCACGCCAAAGAAAAATGGATAGACTGCAAGTTAGAGCATATTTGAAGCTTGGTTTTGTCGCCGGATGGCACAGTGTGCCCCTGAATGTTAGGCTTAGTTAATTAAATAAAGAACACTCAAATGTAATGAAAATTCCAATTTCTTGACAGCCATAGTCGATAAACGTTCGAGAAACACTTCCTTTTCACCTCCCTTTAAGCCAGCTGGCATTTCAAGAACTTCTTGTATATAATTTTTTTGGATGATGGAGAATTCTTATAGCTTCAGGTGAGAACCGATCCCACGTCCTTCCGAGTTCTTGTTCAGACGCACCAACCACTGAGCTACTGAAGCCTCTATGGCGAGCATCTAATTATAAATAGCGTACAAGACCAAGACTGTACAATATATTTTAGAAAGAGGAGAATTCTTATACCAGAAAGCTCAGAAAAAAATTCCGAGCTCTAGGTGAGAATCGAACTCACGACTCTCTGAGTGTATAATCTCTATGATAATGACATCTGTTCTTTAATTTGTTGACTTTTCATACTAGAGGAAGCATATCAACAGGTGCATATTAATCAGTTATATTATGACGTAAAGAGTTAAACAGGTAAGTACCAAAATTTTAATTCAACTCATGCATATTTCTCTTTTACTCCTTTTTTCTTGTATTGTAGGTGAATCATTACAAGATAAACTCGAGAAGAAACTTCTTGGTAAGAACAAGAATAAGAGGAGAACTTTGCTTGGTATTTTGCCAATCATTAGTCTTTTTAACTGCTAGTTCGTCCGTTGATCAATCCTATGCCCCTATTTGTGACTTTTTTGTGATCGCGTGGCAGCAACTAAACTTTATAATATCCCACGCCGATGACAACTGGAAAATTTTTTTTCAATTGTCCGCTCAAAACAGTTATTACTTCTGGAGATTTTGTAACTTCAGGAGGTCTTTTATGAGTCATGAGTCAATGCGTCATGCGTTAGGTCCTGCCTAGTCTCTAAGCCTCATTATTACACGCGGCCAATGTGACTCGTGTCACGTGGTCCAAACGAAAAAAGTGAGCCTCGGATAAGTAACAAAGTGAATTGGCCGAGAAGGCCTGGGGAAAAGTCGTGCACAGACTAGGGAAAGTTAGGTCGGGGTTAGGTTTAGGGGTTAAGAATGGGTAACTTGGGATGGGGTTATAGTTAGAATTAGAGTTAAGGTTAAGGTTGACCATTGTTCATTGACCTTATTACACTAAATTGACTTGTTTTCAAGCTGTGAATACAACTAATACTCGTTTTGTTCTCGTATTAGAGATAAACAAAGAACGCTTACAGCTTAGTATGGTCGTACCTGGATTATTGCGCAATAAATACCGCGACGAATTTAACCTTTTTTACGGAAGGACGATAGTTGGATGTGGAACACCAGATAGAGAACCTTGGTGGGGAAACTATAGATACCTCGCGTAAGTGCAACGTAAATGAAACCCAGCCTTACAAAACGGTAAACTGAACTCGATGACATGACACCTGGCAATTATTCTTCCAATTAAACTTAATTACTAATTGTTTGAATTGAATAGCCTTTCAATAATTGTTCGACAACAAACAGCTAATTTCTGATGTCTTTGTTTCCAAAGTGGTTTTGCTGGGAAGATGCAACCTTGTTCCCCGAGGTTGCCTGTTAAAAATTATAACTGAGTGAGAGTTTGGGAATGTGGTATTGTATACTTTTATCCAATTACTTTTTTATAAGTTTTGTAGTTAAAAGAAAATCGTTGTACTGTTAAAAGATTGAAATTCTCTCACTCACTGACCAATATCAACTTTTTCATCGATATCAGTTTTATTGATCGTTCATGCTTCGATAGTACAGTATAGTTACCTGTGAGAATATGGATGATAAGGAGAAAACAGAACGCTTAGAATTGTTTCCTGCACTCAAATCGTCTCAATTCCCATAAGATCTTTTCTTGTTCACGTATTATGAGCCTTGCAAATGTATTTTTTTAAACTTGAAATACATATTCTTGGAAAATCTTGGCTAGCTAAAGATATCACAAGTAATTTTGTAACGTAACGCTGTGCGGCCGCCATCTTTGGATCCGCGCATTGCATGTCAATATCCCATGGGTCGTTATTCAACACTTTAGAAAGAAGAATACTAGATTAAATGCAATACTCATTAACTTTAAATACATACCCTGTTTGGGAAAACCCTCTATTTTATTACCCTGTTTAGGACAAAGGACAAAATTCACACCGTCTTCTTTTAAAGCCATTTATTGCGTTTTTCTACTTGGAAATAAAATTCATCTAGCAAATCAAATCAATCGTACTGGCAATACCCTGTTGACAGACTCACTCGAAGTTATATACCCTGTTTAGGACAGGGAGGTCAAGAACCATATCATAATCAGCCTCACATCCCGGTATTACCATATAAGGGTGTTGGCTTAGGGGAGGGGTAAGTTGGCAGTTTCCCAGAAACGTTTAATGGGATGTTTTTAACTACTAAGTGCCTTGCGCATTGGGTAACGTGTCACTGTAGCGTTATAACAACAAAAATAGGTTATGGTTAAATTTCAAATGTTAAGCACTAAGTTCTTCTTTTATGAAAGTGTTTGTTGTGATAATGTGATTCAAATGCTTGAAAATTTGCAGCCACCTCCTGGATCATGAGAAAACATTTTGGGTACAGCAAGCATTCAACAATGAGTTTAACGCTTCTGGATATTGGCTGCTCTTTCTGCATGAGCTACGGGTTCTTAAAACAAAATCTGCAAAGCATTTTGTTTGTAAAGGAATAATGAAAGATGGCACAGAACTATATCGACATCATGTTATTGCCTCCAAAATCGGTATGTCACCAAGGAATCGATTAGCTTATCCAAGCCTTTAAAGATTACATAATGTAATATAGTTGATCATAATAAGTATGTTATTATCACCACCATTACAGATAATGTTACCACATTTTTATCTATATAACAGGCGCTTGGAAGTAGTGGGCGCAAGAAAGAATCTCGCGTGTCTCCCTCTCGCGCGCCCGTTCTTTCTTGCGCCATTAGGGTATAATGCTTATGAGAGAGGGCTAATCAGTTCATAGTGGTATTAGTGTTATAGTTTTCTTTTTATTACCTTTTATGACCGTATATGCTCTTTTAAACGAGTTTCTATAAGGTTCTTAGTGCTACGTGGGTAACAGATCATAGACTTTGTCAGGAGCCCATAACTCTTAGCGGTCGTTTATTTTAAGGTCTATTTTAGAGCACTTTTTCTCGCGTAAATGGAAGTTCTCCGCTTTTCCTATGAGCGTATTTGAAGTATAAGATATCAAACAGGTAAACTGGACGTCATTAAAAGGTAAACTAAAAAGATATACTATTTTTAGGTTTGTAAGACTTGCTGATTGGTTTTTGATACTCTAATCGTTCGTTCTAAAAAAACTGATCGGTGAACACGCCGTGATACGGGTACATGAAAGTTGCTCACTTGGGTTAAGGACTCCTAGCCGGTTATTGTATTTTATTAAATAACAGGGAAAAGGCTAGAAGGTGGTTTAATAGTGAGTACATCTATTAATTAAACTTTTAATCATTCTGCCAAAGCGTTTTTCTCCGGATCGATTTGTAATTTAAAAAACTTAGGTACTAGAAATTGAACATTGAATTAACTCACTGAGGTTTTTTTTCCAATCAAACGATAAAAAGGTCGATTTTCAGTCTGAAACCTTCGACCATGTTCAGATTTAATATTGCCAAAAAAAGTAAGTAAATAAATAAATAAATAAATAAATAAATAAATTTTTACAGATTTACACAAAGGTACCCCAAGCTCACGAGTGACAATCGTTGTTGCGTAACAGAAATATTTAAAGAGTTTGTATGGAAATTTTAGGGGTTAAAAATAGTAATAGCGAGTTTTAGATCTGCCCTTGTTCGTTAGATATATATATAACGAATCGAACAACAGCAGAACTAAACTTCGCTGGAATCGCCCTAAAACGGCCAAAAATTCTAAGAAAACACCATAAATTTAGACAAGGACACAAGGTTTAGAAATTCTGATACATCTTATTACTTTTTTTGACCCCTAAATGACGGTCGCTTAAATCGCTATACAAACTCTTATGTTATTTCTGTAACGCAACAACGATTCTCACTCGTGAGCTTGGGGTACCTGTGATCTATGGGGTACCTTTGATCTATGGCATGATGTTAGCTTGTCTTATGAACTTGAATAAATGGATTTTTGCCCACTTTTTAGGATTTGAAGCACCCGATAGATGGGACCCTGGAAACCCGATTTATGGCGAGCCAGTTTGGAACACGTTATTTGGTATGAAAATATTTTCTTTCACTTCCGCACTTGACATGATGTGAATATTTTTAGGGCTTGTTTATTTGGAGGTGGCGTACCCCAGCTAGGTGAGGTAACCCGCGACGGGTCACCCACTTAACATGAAAACGTGATCAAATAAAAATGAGACATTATATGAACAGGAGGGTTACCCCACCTAAGTGAGTCACCTCACCTACCTGGGTCCGCCAACTCCCTGTAAACAGGCCCTTTCTGGACGAACAATTCCTTCTATAGTGCAAACTTAATGAAGCAAAAAAAAAAGCGTCAATTAACGTAAGAAAAGAGTCCAATTTCCACCGCATTGGTTTGGAACTCCAACATGGCCGACGTGACGTTATGCGTTAAACGCTCTATAAAGCTTGCCTACTCTGAATTGCGCATGCGTACGTCATATCGTGTAGCAGGCGATGAAATTCTCCAGGTCCAATTTTATAGCTTTTAATTTAGAATATATTGTATTTACTACATATTCTATTGTATCTTATAAATCAACATTACCAGGGCTTTCATTAATTTCATTAATCGTTTTTGTTCATGTGTGTGTGTCCGTGGTGTGTGCTTTGTTGAAGGGAATGCTTATATTGAGGTAATTTGTTTGTTTTATTAAAACTTACGATGTATAATGACGTTTTCCAGGTTCTTTTACAACTTATACGAACAAAATGAACAGCTATGTAATTGTTTTTAGGAAACGCGCTTCAATGTGAATTCCACTGCGCGTGGATTGCAAAAGAGCCTGTGCGAACAGTCAAACCAAAGGTCTGGAGCGAGACTGGGGAGAGACACTAACAATACGTTTTCTTTTTCTCTCGTGCGAGGCTCGCACGTGAGACTCTGTCGCTACGTTAAAACGATTTCGAGAAAAACCTTTGTTTTGCAGTCTGCACTGCGCGCTGCTTTAAAACTTGGCCATTTGCAGTAGGTCACCTGGTTAAATTCCTGTAAATTTTCGCTGAATCTTTCCCTTACGTATTACAGGGCTCACAAAAATTGTCTGTCACGAACAAAAGGAAATTTGAGTGCCGTTATGTGTATGGAAAAATTTGACTACAGTTTGAAAATTTCATAATTTGCAAGGATTTCGAAAACTTCTCAACCGTGACAGGATGGCAAAAGTTGCCAGCAGGAGCCCATTTTATGGGCTCCAGTTGCCAGTGCTTCTCCCATGAATCCTTCCAATTTTCGGGGCAGTTGCAATCGCTACTATCGAAATATAGGGCCGAAAATTTGCAGGTTACCTACTTTTAACATGTTCTATCCGATTCTGCCAACATTTTTTCAAAGCGAAAGTTGATCACGTGACCAAACCTTTGCAAACGCCCGGGGAAATACTTCCGAATTTCAATTGATGGGATGATCGAAGGTTTTTGTTGGGGGGTCTAAAATTTTCGATTCCGGGATTTTTTTGGGTAGGAAAATTTGGCAAGTATTTTTTGGGTGGCTCAATTTAAGTATGGATTTTTTGGGGATATTCAGAACAATGTGAAGATTCGTGGTATTACCGCGCTCTTTCTTAATTTACGATTAACGAATCATATCTCATTATTGAATAACTTGCGTGACAGCGGACAGTGTACTGTCATGTTAGAATAATGTCGCTTGATTATTATTATTATTATTTCTTTTTCTTTTCGTTCTTATTTTACGTACCTTTTGCGACACTGTTTATAATTATAGTCATGCAGATATGCAAATAAAGGTTATTGTTCTTGTTGCGTAGCTCTGCGAATATGGTTCTACCACAGGTAACCCAGGCTCTGTGATAGTACCACAGTACCAATCTCGTCCCCAGGGCTTTTCCCTCAAAAAATGCCACAGTACGGTCCAGTAAAATTACAGTGTTTGTATGGGGTAAAAATATCATCCTAAAATTTCTAGGAAATACTAAATAAAGATAAATAAAACTTACTCTGCAGTTAATTCTTGTTGTCCTTATTGCTCCAAGGAAGTTTCGTGATAATTTGCAGTAATTTGTTCAGATTCACTCTATCTACAATAATAATATACAAGGTAGGAAACACGAGATGCCATTTTCGCCGACATGCTCTCATTCAACACAACTTTTTCCACGAAACTCCAACGGAAAATAAACATGCCAGGATCGTAGAAATAGGATAGCAGCAGATATAGAAACCAATGAAGCTTTCCCAGATAAAGAAACGAATCCCACAGACTTTGACAAACTCGAAGGATATAATCCAAACAGACCGAGAATATGCTTGCCGAAGCAGCCGGGCCAGATCAATTAACGTGCGGCCAAGAAAATGAGGCCTGAGCACTGTACAAAAAAAATTCCATCCCGGGAGTCTTGGGGTGACCTTTCTGGGGACCGATACATCATTTGCCTAAAGCCACCTTCCCCTGCTGAAAAAATACTTGATAGAAGGAAATTGTTCTTCCTAGCCAATCACAATTCGCCAGAGCAAACCCCGCACACGCGCCTAAATTTAAATGGCCAAAGAGAATAAATAAAACCAGGATAGTCTGCCGAGTTACAAGGCGCCCCATTTCTTTTACTAAGGAATGCAAATAACAGCAATGAAACTAATGAAACAACAACGCGAAATACTTACAAGGCGGGCTAAAAACAAGGTTGAACAAAGGTAGATGATAACTGAGATACTGTTGCTGTGAACTCTCGAGCGAAACTATCGTAAATAAACGGTGAAGCTTACAAAAAAATGTCAAAAATTATACAGAAAATTGCGACAGAATATGAATTGCGATAACTGAGACGAATGTGACAGGCATGTGCACCAGTAAACAAAAAACTAGCGGGATTAACATATTTAGCGATTAATGCGGCCGTAACACGCCGACTTCTTGTCAATACAACTGAACGTTCTATCAGTTAAATATGTGAACCACCGTGACACGTCTCTTTGAATTTCGTCTTGTTGTACAAATGCCGCGGTAAGAGCCAAAATTCACTTATATCTTTCGCTCGTTTTAAGTTTTGTAAATCCTCCTTCGTTGTTATTTCTTTTAAACTTATAACCTTGTTCCATTGATGTTTGATAGGCTTTCTGAGGACCAGCGCCAGGTGCTGAATATAGTTCGAGAGGGACATAACATCTTTATGACAGGCCAGGGTGGTACGGCTAGGAAGAACAATTGCCTTCTATCAAGTATTTTTTCAGCAGGGGAGGGTGGCTTTGGGCAAATAATGTATCAGTCCCCATAAGGTCACCTCAGGAATCCCGGGATGGAATTTTTTGGTACAGTGTCCAGGCCTCATTTTCTTGGCCGCGCGTTGATCTGGCCCGGCTGCTTCGGCGAGCATATTCTCGGTCTGTTTGGATTATATCCTTCGAGTTTGTCAAAGTCAGTGGGATTCGTTTCTCTATCTGGGAAAGCTTCATTGGTTTCTATATCTCCTGCTATCCTATTTCTACGATCCTGGCATGTTTATTTTCCGCTGGAGTTCGGGTTTCGTGGAAAAAGTTGTGTTGAATGAGAGCATGTCGGCGAAAATGGCATCTCGTGTTTCCTACCTTGTATATTATTATTGTAGATATAGTGAATTTTAACAAATTACTGCAAATTATCACGAAACTTCGTTGGAGCAATAAGGACAACAAGAATTAACTGCAGAGTAAGTTTTATTTATCTTTATTTAGTATTTCCTAGAAATTTTAGGATGATATTTTTACCCCATACAAACACTGTAATTTTACTGGAACCGTACTGTGGTACTATCACAGAGCCTGGGTTACCTGTGGTTCGACCAAGTACAACATCTTATATCATTTAACGCTTTCTGAAAATTTTTAAGGCTTCGAAATTCGGTCTCGGGATTTTTTGGGGGTTTTGATTGTAGCCCCCATTCGATCTTCCCCGTCACTTAAACTCCGGAGTACCCCACTGGGTGCGAAAGGTCTAGTGACGTGGAACAGAATAGTTTTCTCTTTTTCATTAGAGTCGCCTACAATAATTGTACAGCAGAGGATTGATGTTGCATATGATGGTGGAAAGCCCATATGGAAAAAGCCAGCAGTAGTTTACGCCAGCGGTCCAGTGGCATCTATAGGGGTGATTGTCACTGGAATACGTAAGTATACAGCTATTGCGAGAAAGGTTGTCGGAAAAAGTGCACGCGACAATCCCGAAAGGTATTGTGGGTGGTTTTGAGTTCGCTGTTCTTCAAAGAAATTTGAAACAATGGCACAAGAGGCAGTGGACGTATTTTTGCGCGTGCCAAAGGAAAGCAATAAAAGAAATTTTGACAGCTACAGTGTCAGGAACAGTGTATTGATCATATCCCATATTACCTTTCGGGATTGTCGCGTGCACATTTTTGCCGACAACCTTTCTCAAAATAGCTGTATCCAAATTGGGAAAGTACCTGAGAATGCTGAGAAAAATGGTGTTGATGGATTTTACTTATGACATTACTAATATGAGCAAGGTTCAGGGGAAAGAATTTGCGGTCTAGAATAGTGACACCCTTCCACGTTTCTTTCAATAACTTTCGACAAGGACCAGGAGACGAAAATCTGTTAACAGCTGCTGCAAAAAGAGCCTTCAAGCTAGTAAAGTTGCCTAATTTGAAAGTGATTTGTTGAAAAATAACGAAGACATAGTTCTGCAAAGTCGTGAATTTTTTACAGACGTTTGTTTTGTGGGGTGGGGTGGGCGGGGGGGGGGGGGTGGGGGGATTTTTGTGCCCCTACCATGCAAACGTAACTTGACAAGCTAGAAATGTTTAGTACTTTAACGTCGTTATTTTTTTCAGTATCTTTAAACATTCCCTTGAAAAAAAACTGTTCGGGGGTTTTTTTCTACTCCCACTCGTTTCTGAACNTATTTATATTTCCAGCTGCATTTTCTTTTCGCCAATGACTATAACTAACAACCAGCCGTTTTTTCCTCCACCAGACTACTCGCTGATATCAGGACGTTTGCGAGACACCTGGAGTCCTGGGTACTAGCTGCAACAGTTGAACTTCCAGATTATCTGAAAATGGGAAAAGTCCAAGGTCAGTTGTTAAACCAGCTAGGATTATATTTTCTGTAGTGCATTTAGCAATGAAATGGAAACAGATTTTCCGTTTCTTTTTTTTTTTTTTTTTTTTATTTTTTGGTTGCCTGGGTACACCCGCTCCCCCCTTTCAAAAAAGTCGGGGGTTTTGTTTGGGGGGGGGGGGGGGGGGGGGGGGGGGGGGGGTAGGGGCATTTCTGTGCCCCTACCATGCAAACGTCACTTGACAAGCTAGACATGTTTAGTACTTTAACGTCGTTATTTTTTGCAGTATCGATAAACATTCCCTTGAAAATAAACTGTACGGGGTCTATTCTCACATCCAGATCGATTCGAACCTACTTACTTCCAAGAACTAGTTCTGCGAATCTGGCGCTCTTCCTCCGGCCTTTTCCGCCTTTCTAATTATGTGTAAAGCCTGGATCACGGCAAAATTTTACTTATCTAAGTATTTCTTATTCATTTTATGAACAGCATACCTAATGGCTGGGATGCCAAGGAGCTACATTTCCGACCGTAAATGGAGCTTATCATATTTGGGCCAAGTCCCTCATTATGAACATGTACAGTTCATGTCCAAAAGCTGCTCCAAGCTAGCTCAGCTTCGAGGCTATGATCACTTTGTTCTGAGGAACGACCAGTGTTATTCGTCACATGCCTTGCCAGCCAACGTTTACAAGAAACAAGACCTAAATGCGGCACCAGATAAAAGCCAACGGGATTTTAATGTCCCATATTTCCTTAAAGGAATGAGTAAGTTATTTATCGCACTTTTATATGAAGGGTAAATGTTGACTAGCGTTTATGATGATGTGTATAGGCAAGAGAGGATAAAAGGGACACAGAAGGCATCCTCCGTACACACCCTATTCCATAGGTAATTCGTCTCGAGTTATTTTTAAGATCACAGATCCCAAGGGGAATTGGACAACAGCCAATCACATAGCGTGAATGTGTTCCGCGTGGATGATCCACGCTCAGAGCCACGCGTCTTTCACGAATTGAGGCAGAAAAAAATGGCGGAAGACGCGGAGAGCGATATTGCTATTCGTTTTGACGACGAAAACGAGAGATTGCTGCTAAAGCTGTGTCAGCGAAACGAAAATTAAGAAAGAATCGCCTTTCATCTCTTGCATAGAGCTAACAGTACAGCAGGGAAATCCTTAACACACTGATTCTCTCAGGATCATTTATAATTTACAGTTTGAAGAGAGCAATTTCTGGTTTGATATTTATTCTTTCATTAGTCTTTTATTATTGAACAAAAATAACACTTGGCGTCCTATAATAATAATAATGACGATTTAATAACTTCTAGAGCGCTATTTACATTCATTGATCAACAGCGCTCAACAACTTAAAAAACTACGATAAAATTCAAATTTGTAAAACTAATTACATGTACATGAATATTACTTGCTACTTGCTTTATTGTACAAACGACCGGTTTCAACAGACCGGCGAAATTTCTCATTTTGTTAAAGCACTAACGTCACGATAACTTCGAGTTAAACTGATTTCACGGGTTGTCAAAGAGTCGAGCGATCCCTTTTCCCAGGTGGGCGCCGACTCATTTCGCTTCAATATTCAGAAATGCTCTCGATCTCTTTACGCTTTTATTGCCCTTCGCCCGACATGTTTTGCACGGCGTTTAGTCATGTGAATCCTTCACGAAACATCCACGCAGCGCGCGAGATAACTTTATCACGATTCTAAAAATAACTCGAGACGAATTACCTATGGAATAGGGTGTATATGGGGGATGCCTTCTCTGTCCCCTTTATCCTCTCTTGGTATAGGTAATAGCGTGATTTGTAGTGATATTTGGCATAAATACCACGAGTGATATTTCAAAATTGTTATACGAAATTTCACGAGCCGTAATTAGGCGAGTGAAATTTGAGACAATTTCGAAATATCACAAGTGGTGTTTATGCCAAATATCACGTACAAATCATGCTATTATTTGTTTATACTACTACCCACAAAAAATTTGTAATTTTCACATGTAGGTATTTCAAATTAAGCTGAAATACCACTGCTCTAAGCCAATCAAATTGCAGAAATTTCTCATGTAGTAGTATAAAGACCTTACTTACACGGGTCTGGACAAATTTTTGTCTGGCGGGACCTGTGTTCAGACGGAGTCCTTCAATAATTGTGCTCGAACAATTTAGCAAGTTGCAAGCCAAGCAAATGCACCAACCAGAATAAACTGAATTTCAAACAGTGGGAACAGCTCAAAACTTTAAAATAAGGCTATAAATAACACATTAAATATAGCCTGCGAGCAAGCTCTCCAATTTGAGCGAGCGAAGCGAGTCTCGCGAGAACGCGCGAGCGAGCGGCGAAGCCGCGCTCGGCTCCTCGCTCGCGCGTTCTCGCGAAGATCGCTTCGCTCGCCCAAACAGGAGAGCTTGCTCGCAGGCTACATCAAATACAAAAAGAGGAACAGATGGACAAACATGAACTAGATTAAAACGGATTGAAAATTGTGTCTTTGAAAACTTGTTAGCCTAACAGTTTTTTACACTTTATCTTTGTTCTCTGTAACAGTTCAATTTAATGCTTGGGCGACATACTCAGTTTGACATGAAGCTGTGATTTCACAATTTGCCAGTGAAATCGTCTGTAAAGTTAAGTTCTATTCCGAATAAGAACTTGTAATTGCCAATATTAACAAAATGAACTAAGCAGCCCCTTTCATTGAATGTCATGGCTATGTCTACAATCTAGCGGATAGCTCTTGCGGCGGCATTAAAGCCATATCGGATTGGGCTTGTGATCGAGAATGGTGTTGTAGGCGCGGTTTCTGTAACTAACGGAGCGAAGAGTAAACCGAGCTGATCTTGAAAGTAGATCGTCTTATATCGGGTAGCCATGGGATTCTGTGCCATTCTTTGCTGCAGTTTGAATACCAGGTGTTCATACTATACCCGATAACTTGTCATTTCGACATGAAAAGCTAACCGGTACAGTGTAGAGATAGCTTTAGGCGATATTGGTTATGCCAATGCCAATTCCTTTGTTGTTATTGACCAAAAACCAATTGGCTATTGCTTTAAGAACATCATAAAAGAAAACAAAAATCACTAAAAAACAAACCGAGTAAAACAAAATGACAAAGCGTAATTATATAATAACTTAAAAAGAAATCGACGTTTCTTTGCAGCTGTAGAAGCTATCTCATCCCGCCAATTGTGTTTACTCTTTGTTTTTTCAATTTAGGGAAATTTCAGTCATATGAAATCGCTTGGTATAAGCTGAAAGCCAACACCGTTAACCAGTGGATCCAGATTTTTAAGTATCAGGTCAAAGATCCCGATCGTGAAACTTCACTATTATTCACCCTGGAAACAATAGGCGATGACCTTAATTTTAATTATTTACGAGCTCGTGGACGATATCGAGCCTACGACAAGACCTACTTTGGTGATTATTTTTCGGCAAGTCACGTGCTTGAGATCGATAGACTGTCAACTGTTGACCTAGGAACGTACAAAGTGATGGTTCGAGTTCTTGCCACTGGAGCATGGAGCGAGGCTATTATAGAGTTACGGCATGAAGGTGAGGCTATTGAGTAGAGTCCAATTTCCATCTGCAGTTATTATATTAAGAATTTGTCATGGTAACAGGACTGAGTGGAGTCCAATTCGGTCTATAATCATACGAGCGATTAACAAAATCGGACGACCGCGTAGCGGGAGTCAGATTTGTTTGATCACGAGGATGATTATAGACCGAAATTAATTACCAATTAACCATAACTTCAACAAAATTTGTGATATATAAGGCTCTTCTAGTTAATCAAAACACAAGAAATTCCAAGATTTTGTTGCTAGCAGTGACAAAAATTCATTTAAGCGCGCGCGTGATGGCGCGTACTGTCCAGTTACTTAGGCATGACGCGTGCTGTCTATTAAGGCTGAAATCAGGGCAGTTGATAGCCAATCAGTTTTAAGAATTTTGTTATAGTTATGATTATGAATTAAATAGAACGGCCAGGCTCGTGAGATCAAGTCCGATTTGCTTAATTGAAGGGTATGATTACAGGCAGGAATCCATGAGCGACACTTAACACACTGATAATATATCAGCAGTTTAAAGGACTTGAGTTTTTATTGCCTTAAAGAATTAAAGAAAAAAAGAATCCTTTAGAGGCGTATCCGCCCTGGTGTGCAATAACCTCTGCTCGTAATGCTTTGGCCAGGCATTGTTCCAGTGTTATATTTTTAAACCGGATACCGGGATCGGATTTCTGTGAACACTTGAATAAGAGTAAAGAGGGAGAAAGTATTGGACTCGGATTTTTGTGAACTTCAACGGTCCAGTTATAATAGGTCTTTTGCATGAGTTGACCACGTGATCAACTTTCGGGCAAACACGAAAACAGTTTGCTTTTCAAAAAAATTTTGTTCGCACGAACTGAAAGAGCATATTAAAATTAGGTAACCTGAAAATTTTCAGGCTTATATCTAAAAAATAGCGATTGCAAACGGCAAACGGCAGATTCAGGTTGAGAATTTCCAAAAATAGCAAATGATCAGACAAAAACAGTTTAAATCAATTCTTATGGATGAAAATAGCGTGAAACTACTAGAATTAACGAACAGTCCAAGATATGTAAAGCTAAAACTTGGTCGCGTGGTACAAATTCAAGTTTGCCGTCTGTCATAAACGTGAATCTTAAGTAGCCAACCTCAAAAACACCTGAATAGACAACGCCGAATGAAAATACAATGTATACAACTTCTTCTAATTCTTGTTCATTTTATTCAAAGGTAGTAACCATTTTGTTAAATTTCATAACTTATAGAAAACTCATCATTCACAAAAATGGTGTTGGATCACGATAACTATGTTTTAATAATTTGAAAGGAAAATATTGAAGACAGTTTCTTAAATATTGCAGAGGAACCTCGAATTTCTCTTCCTGAAACGTTTGGTGCGTGCGCAAAAGCGTCTACGGAAGTAAAAGTCACAATGAATGAGAAAAACTTCCGGGATCCAAATGCATGGAACGTAAATTGGTATCATTGGCACCGCTGGTATGGAGGGTGGAAACGATCGCCTACTGCTCAAGGATCTACTATTCTAAGAGTACCAAAACCCCTCTTACGACAAACTGGAGAGTGGTATGAGGTGGAAGTGAGGAACCAGTTTGGTTTTGCTAAAGGTGTTTCTAAGATCATAGTTATTGAAGGTAAGTTGTCTTTTGTATTAAGGCCGATACACACGAGGGATTTTGCTCCTGGAACATGCTCCAGGGGCACGCTCCTGGAGCAAAGCTCCTCCGTGTGTACCAACAATTTCATGGCTATACTTCATCCTCGGGAGTAGAATTTCCACCCCGCAAAATGCTCCACGATATTTAACAGGTTTAATATTTGGGAGCAAGCTCCCGGAGCAAATTGAGCGAACTTGAAAACGCTCCCTCGTGTGTACTGACACGTGCAAAATGAACCTGGAGCATGCTCCGGGAGCAAAACCCCTCGTGTGTATTGGCCTTTATGGTACGCTTTGAGAATTTATTTGACTGAATTAAAAAACCAAAGCATGCTAAAAGGAAGACAATTTCGATTTTTGAGTTCGCTTTCTGGTTTGTGGAATTTCTTTTCAATGAAAGACGCCTAACTGATGTGCTAGTTTTGTTCTTTGACTTTCTTTGGGGTATCCGAGTTTTAGCTTTTCTTCTCGTACTATGGATCAATGAAGGTAGATATATAATATTTTTATATATTTTAAAGGCAGTTCTGAGGCATTTGTAACCCACATAGATAGTGGTATTTAATGAAGAATGATCCATAGATCGTTTAATAAATGCTACTGCGTATCGTGTAGACAATTATTAAAAATACAGCAATTTTCTATACTTTGTAATTTCAGAATATTTAAGTGAATTAATTTCGCCTATGGGCTCCTTAAAATCAGCTGTACAGTTTTTTCCCGAGCAAAGGTTGTCTAATAACGACGAATTTATAGCTGCAGATCTCGTTATTCCCATAAATCGTGTTTCACAAAGCAAAACTTGATACTGCGCTTGCTGTTACTGCTATTATTTGTTTAAACTTGCCTACAAGTAGAGCTCAATGTTTTTCAATAGCGCGAAGTGCGAGCGTTAGATTTTTTATGTTTTCTGCGGCAAAAGCCAGCGAGAGAGCGGAAGCTAGCGCTGAGGGCAACCACCGGAACCGGAAACGAGAAGCGAAGGACTTTGAGAAAGTCTATCATTTGTTTTATTGTAGCGCCTTCATACTAACGTCATGTAGCAATTACATTTTAGATGTCCCTACCATAACCTGGATTACGCAATCACCCCACTTTGCAGCTAAGGATGTGAGCGACGTTTTGGAGGTGAAAATCGAAAATGATAAAACCTTGGTGAGAGTTGATTGGTACCACAATGGCACGCTCATTGAAAGGACTACAGAAGGCTTCGCATTTCCTGGTAAAACGGTTATCGACGTAAGATACTAACCTGAGAAAACAGCCTACATTTCCCAACGCCTCCAACGGTTTCCTCGCGAAACGACGTCGGAGAAATGAGCGGAGAAATTCCATACTGATGACGCGTCACTACCCAGATCTGGGTAGTGCTTCTGATTGGTCGTGCCGCTTGTGAAATTTGCTTCAACAAATCAGAGGCACTACCCAGATCTGGGTAGTGACGCGTCATCAGTATGGAATTTGTGCGCTCGTTTCTCAGACGCCATTTCGCGGGGAAACGGTTGGTGGCGTTGCTAAATGTCGTCTGTTTTCTCAGGCTCACATCAAGATGTGCAATTTCGGTTTTACTGAAACTGCAGGTCAAAAAATGATTATGTAGTTTTAAGAACTTTGAAACGGTTTTTTAGGAGGACAAAGCCAAATGTTTTTGCCTCATTGACTCGCTGTGCCGGCATATTTTTGACCTAACATGTCCCTTGACATCAGAGCCGTAGACCTCACATTGGTTAATCATTGAAAATTCACTCTGAACAGGTGTTCCTTAACAACTATTTAAACATCGTTAAGTTCGTCATACACATGTTCTTTACAACTGATCTGAATATTGTGTCTCTCGCATGCTCTATAGCTATAAAGGATCGGAGCTAGTCGGCATGCCATAACAGTAATTAGGGCATCACGGCCCGGTTCCTGAAAGGCCGATTAGCACTAATCCAGGATAAGAATTTTTTTCCACTTTTTGTATTTACTTTCCTATACATCGCTCAGAGTAACATTTTGTGTTATCATTAACTGTATCCCAGAGTAAAAGCTCAACAGAATTTTGTAAGCTTGAGTTACTTGTTCTAAGACAAGGAAACCATGCTTAAAATTTGGCTTAATCTTGGTTTAAGCTTAACCGTCTTTAAGGAACCGGGCCCAGTAGCTGCAGTATTATATTCTGAGTCTACGAGAATCGCTGCTCCATTCAAATTCATTTCTAATTGTCGTATTTCTCCTTTCGATGATAGGAGAGAAACATGGGTCCACTTCATTCCGAAAAAAACTTAAGTTATCTCGAATCTCGTTTGAGACTGCGGGCGCTTACCGAGTTGTGGCCAAAGGAAAATACTGCCAGTTTGAGAAGAATGTGGAAGTTCGTGTTATAAGTAAGTACAGTATCCCCCCTGAACCGAGGTTGGATTTAAGGTATAATATTATATTTGGTTTTGTTTGAACTGACCTGATCTCGTGGCCCATTTTTAAACTTTTTTCTGGAAAGATGGGTGGATAGGAAAAAAATGCAACTAGAAAAATTTAGAATCGATGGCTCTCCCTGATGGAATATGGTGAGCAAATTGGAACTCGAGTTCTGTCATTCAGCTGCAAAACACCTGGAAATAGAGTTTACTCCGCTGTTGAGGAATAGAGCAAATTGGCTCATTACGCAGTCTGAAATGAAGCCGAAACACACTACGTGCTGGTGGGATCATGATCAAGTATTGTTGTTTTGTTCAAACAAATCTGACTCTGGAAGAGGCTCGTTAATTAAATTCAAGCTCTGTTTTATATTTTACTTTTTTGCTTTCCAGTTAGCCCGCGGTTGATAGTCAAACCACACGCTGTATATCTAAGGTCATTTGAGGGCGAGAGTGAAGTGAACATGAATATAACAGTCAAGGGTGGTGTTCCAAAACCAATGGTACGTAAGCTTACTGCTATGCGGTGACGAATATAGACTGCTTGTTGTTGTTGTTGTTGTTTTGGATGAAATTAACAAACAAACCAACAAAGTCATGGTTCGTTTTCCCTTTGAAACGTTTATTATCCGAGTTATGCCCGAATCATCACCTTGGGGCATTATGCTAAACCTCAGTGTAACGCAAACTCACCAAAAATGCTCCTAGCTTCGATCAAATATAGACGCAGTAAAATTTATTGAGTCAAAATATAATACTGTGAACACAGATTGAAAAACTTTGGCACTTGTTCATTAGCCTGTTCCAGGCGTTTAAATCGTGGAGCGCGGCGTTTAGATGGGGAGCGAGTTAAATCGTACGCGGGCAAAACGAGGGGAAGAAAAGAATCGAGGGGAGACAAGTCTTCCCAATTCGTTTTCTTTTCTCCTTGTCAATTTTCTTGCCCGAGCTCTACTATCTAAACGCCTGGAACAGACTACTTGTTGACTGCAGTAATATTAAAAAAGATGCAACCGCTTTTGAATTACCCTGCGAGCAGAGTCTATCTAGGAAGATCGAAGGAGACTCTTTTGAATTGACAAAGATATAAAGTCTTGTTTTGTTTCATAGTTGTATTCGTAAACTTATAGCAGCTTTTTATAGGAGGCTTAACTGAACTTTTAGCGTTGAAAATTAGAGCCGAGGCTGGTTTACGGAGGGGCTGACTTTTGATACTGTATATCTACAGTTGGAAGACATGGAATGGAAAAAGGGAAGTCAGTTATTGACCCCTTCTCGATACGGACGCGTGATACTGGAGACGTCCCTGAATAAAAAAGAGGATTGGTTCACTGTTCTTATAATTAGAAACCTGAAGGAATCAGACTCTGGAGACTACACTTTCACTGTTAAAACAGGACCAGCAACTAAAGTGATGACAAAAAGCTTGGTTGTAATTCCTAAACACGGTAAGGACTGGACTTGCCACAGTGAAATCCGGATTTTTCGAATCTTTTTGGGAAACTGCTCATTTTCACTGGTTTTAACTTCGGCAAACTAAATTCTTTTATTGGCAAAATCAGGAACACACAGACGGCTCCTTAATAGTTTTACTAATATAGCACTTTTCATGACTTTTATACCAATTGATTCGAATGAAACGGACCGAACCGAAAAGTTTTTCGGGTTTAACCGATTGCAAACCGTTCTTAAACAAAAGTGGGGAGGAAATTCCATGAATCACCCTTTTTACTTCGCTCCATCTCATTTGTAGCGATTGTTTTGCTTTAGTTTATGCTAGGCAACTCCCATAAGTGAAATTTAAGTGCGCGGGGAAACACTTCGGAAGTTCCTTTTCGTCTCCTTATCAGTCTTCTGCTTTCTTTACCCCTAGATGTACGCCCCTTAGCAATACCTCTGTTCTTAACGATACCTACTTAGCGATGCCCGTGTGCTTCATGTTTAACGATACGTGACTTAGCAATACCTGTGTGACCCTAGCAACAAAGAAATTTGCTGTTTCACCCCTAAATGAGACGAAAAGCATTTCGAAAGCTTTCATAAACAGCTATGTGATAATGTCCCGTGAATCGATGACCAGTTGACAAGTGCACGCGCCTGATACCTCTGGCAATTTGTGACACATCCAATTGACTTATCAAGTCTCTTTTAGTTTTGTTTTACTTTTTTTTTTGCAGAGTACTTTTCGAGAAAAAATGATGACACCACGACCACCACTGACTCTTCCATACTGGAAACCTTGCCCACTTCCACGCCAAGTTCAGCTAGTAGTTTTTGTCCATGGTCCACCATGGTTTTGAACATTTATTCTGTTCTATTGGTAATAGAGTACCTCTGTTGTTATTAAACTTATTGTCTTACAAATCTTGCGACATTTATGTTCGGTTTGTTCAGTAACGAGACTAGTTTAAGAGCAATGTTTCCAGATATTTTTTATTATTCTTTGCCGTAAAGCAAAGACGCAGCCCGATTCAAGCAGGAGCCGACAAGTATGGGCTGCTGATTCATGTGTTTATAATATTAAAGCAAGTGAGGATACTTTTTTTCATTCAAAATATTTCGCCTTTGCCGATAAGCTCATATCCGCCCCCCCCCCCCCCCCCCTTTTTTGTCTATTAAGAATTCACCTAATGACGAAAGACACCTCATCCCCCCCCCCCCCCCCCTGCTATAAATTCTTAATAACCAGCTAGCGTCTGCCTAAATCGAAAAAAGGCGACAGTAGCACAGGCTATATAAAAAAAAGGGGAAACGAGAAGGCCTGGGGACGAGGTTGCGTTAGCTCAATTTTTTTTTGAAAAATAAAAACAATGGAGGATAATTTCAGACGTTTTGGGAAGAATTGGCCAAATTTTCACCTGAAAACGTAGCAATAACAGCAAGAACACATCTCAACGGATGGTAACTGCTATTTAAAGAATATCTGTGCTTCCTGATAGCTGTTAGACCATGCCCATAAAATGTCCCGTCTTTAGTATAGCCTGCCTAACTGGCTGTTTTTTGGTATTTTTTTTTTCTTTTCTGGTTCGCAAACTAAGAGATTCCCCTCACTCCCCCCCCACTTCCTGCCCCCTCTGTTCAGCGCGGCTGTAACTCTTGCTTTGCCGACCACAAAAGGAAAAACATACCAAAAAATCGCCTGCCAAAATGCTACGCAGGCTCTCTTTAGTAGTAGTCGGTCGGTCGGGTTAAACCTGGGGTTAAAACAATGAATGAAAAAAAGTCATTGGGTACCCGGTGGGGACCGTAAACAAAGGAAGGTTGCTCCCGGCACCTGAAAATAATTATGTAACTTTAAAATGTACATGTAAAACTATGGAGTGCAAGGGTGAAAACTAAAGGTAATGGCAATTTATTTTATTTTTAGTTTTATTACTTTACGACAAATTTGTTTAAGGAAGCGTGACTCTGTTTCGTGCCATTAACGAATGCATGATCTACTGTTGTCATGGTTATAAGATTGATCCGCTGGACATGTACAATAGGTTTGTCGTTGTCACTTTTTACAGTTTTGGTAAAACTTTATAGATCGTATCAATTTGCCGCGTTGTGATTGCTGTGCACTCAATAACGAAGATAAACGGCCAGTGTTAAGGCGAACGAATCGAAAGAGCCCTAAGTGCGAATTGAACGGTGAATGCAACACCTTCGCAAGAATGGTAGGCTACAAAAAGTCTAAGGTTGGTCTTGAATTCCGGCACTACTGAGTCATAAACAGAAGGCGGTGATTGCTATTTGACAGTTCTCTGTGGCACTATGTTATTCTGATTTCTGATGGATAAAATCGCATTTTAACGTCGACATGAGCGACACTCTTTTGGAAACTATTTGTATCAATGGCACACGGCCACCCTACAAGAGACCAGCCTGGGTTATTGGCCAAGTTGGAAGTGAGAAGCTTCAGAACAGACGAGCTCAAACTGCTACCTCACGAGAGAGACAAAATCACTCGTCTCACGACAAAAGAAGACCTAAGTGAGTAACTAGAATTCATAATTTTTGTTGCAAATTAATAGCTGCAACTGTAAGCGCGCCTAACCTTCTGAATTCCGTGTTTATAGTACCGGTGATTGTGTTTACGGTGTTTACTAAACATGCAAAGATTAATATTTTGTTTATTGATATGGCATGCGGTGATCATACAATTTGAGACAAGAATTCTTGAGAAATGTTTAGGTAGAATTTTTAGATGGTTTTTTATTGCATGTTGTGGTCCGATTTTGCCTTGGTTAAGACTTTTTACATAATTTCCTCCTTTCTTGTTGGGTATACCAATGCATGGTATATGAAGTTGAAGGGGTAATAACGTATGTAGGGCTGGCGAATGGTAAAATCCGAGACTCGCCAAGACGCCGAGATCCTAGTTAGAAATTCGAGCCCGAGACTCTTTGGTAAAAAGTTTGGAGACTCAAAAAAAGTAAAAACAAACCATGCAAAAACGAGACTTCGAGACTTATGAAAAACGCTTCCGAGATTTTGAGATCCTGCCAAAATTTTCCGAGACCCACGTTTTTCGTGGTACCATTCGCCACCCCTGTATGTGTGTCACGCATGATCATACTACAGTCAACTCCCTCTAAGACGGACACCTTTGCGACCGGCAGTAAATGTCCATCATAGAGAGATGTCCGTCTCATAGAGAGTCAAATAAAGGGAGTAAAGAAAGGCAGGGACCAACCCTAGGTGTCGGTTTTAGAGAGGTGTCTGTCTTATAGAGGTGTCTCTTAAAAGAGAGTCGACTGTATATTGCCTTGGCCTCTGTCACCTGGTCCCAGTTGTTCAAAGGTGTATAATGCTATCCATTGGATAAGTCTTTATTCACTGGATAGTGCAAATTCATTTCCCTGGATAGTGCTACCCAGCTTTTGAACAACTAGGGCCTTTCTTCTGTCTTAGGTAAAGAGTCAGGTGTGCCATTAATTTATATTTACTATGAAGAAACAATTGGCTAAAACAATCCCCAGAAGGGCTTAATAATTATAGTTTCTGGATACTCAATGTTTGGCTTGCTGTTCAGTGGTTTAAAGTTCCTTTCTTTGTTGCAAAATTCTAAAATTTTAAACTTTCTTTAGATCAACACCCTGCAGACTGAATGTCAGTTTTAATGATTCTCAAAGACCAAGGTTAGTTGGAGTTGCTACATACAGTGTATCAGTGAAGAACTACTTTTAATAAATAATTATTAACAATGATTGCCTGAACCTGTACAGAGTGGCAAAGGGGTCCATGGGGGGAAGTAAATCTCATGCATCATGTTGACTTTTTTTTAGGCCATCACGCATAGTTGACAAAAAAAAAAAA